CACAAAAAACACTGCGCATATTGCATAAATACGTCAGTACAGTGAAATGGAGTGTGGAATTGTTAGTAAGTTATTTTTTGACACCCTCACTCCCTCGAGTTTGCGTCTGATATCACCTGCTGCTATTTATGCGTTTGAGATTGAGATTCCTTAATATTCACCGAGCTGCACATCCAGCGAGATGTACTTCTATCTGCCAAGCCATCTTTGTTGGTGGCATTGCCCTAACTTTGAAATAATGTTAATTCTAGGGTTGTAAAACTAGCAAACATATTAAATTCTAATTGAGGAGCAATATTTAAAGTGGCCTGGACGTGCAAAAGGATATAAATGAGAAAAAAAAAACTAAATAGGCCGAAGTCAGTTTTGGCATTATGATGACTACTTGCAGATGTAGTGATTAATGCGTCGTCAAGTTGTGGGCACCATCCCCAGTTTCTTGTCAAACTGTTGGAGCAGTTCCCAAGTTACCTGCAGCCCAGCCTTCCGTCGCCAGAAGTTCCACTTCCGAATGAATATTATCAGTTTCATCCATGTTTTTTAAAGCCATTCATTAGACAAGGATCCCAAGAATTCTTCTGATTTGGGATCCCTATGGAATAAAATTCCCTGAAAAGATCACAATGTTATCTATATTGGACATTCCTTTATTAATATTCATTGTTTTTTTATTATACATATCTCCCTCATTCTGTTTTATCAGCTTTCTGTGTTGCCGACCCGTATCAGTGTCATATTTTTGGGTGCAACCTCCTCTCCCTGTCCTTTTTACCATTGTATTTTGTGTGTAGGGCTAAGAGGGAGCCCTGCATTTTGAGGTGTGCTGCCTACCTACTCAATACTTTTTTGGGGGGTTTGCTCAAACAGCGCTGATCCATTTGTCTGTATTTTCAGTCAGCCAATAAGGAGCTTTAATAATATGGATTAGTGATATAGCGCTTACAGATGTGCAAGGAAAAAAAAATTCATTTCAGCCCGGTCGATAATTATTTTTGTTTCGGCCAACATTATTTTGAAAACCAATTTACGTTGATCTGAAAATCTAAAAGAATTTCACTAATTCAACAATATGGGAAATAAATGAATCCAAAAGTTATCCATACATTTTACTTATTCACACATAGAGAAGAGTAACAGGTGGTCAACGAATGACAGAATGACACCAAACAAAAATTAGTTTGGGGTTCGATCAGTCGGTCATTAATTCAAAATCTACAGATATTTGTTTTTGGATAAATTAAAGAAAACCACATTTTTCACAAAATGTTTAAATTCCACGGAAAACGAATTCACGTCTCATATTGATAATAAATAGAAATTTCACACCAGCAAGAGAAGAGATGCAGATGTCTTAAGAACAAGGAAGGTTTGACCAAGAACTGGGGAACAGCGACTCAACCTAATGGCACCATAACCACTACATTTTCAGGTAGTTATGTTGGCTAACCTGACATTTTAAAATGCTATGCATTGAATTAGAGTTAACTACAGACTTGGGGGTTTTGCGGTGTCCCCCTTTCCCTTTTTCTAAGTTAAATAAATAATTAGATAATTATCATAGTGGTCAAAGTAGATAAAATAAATAAATGTTTTGGCAGCAGAATTGATTCCAAATGAACCCTCTCTCCATTCACATTCTCAGTATGAGAAAGAAAGACTATGTGATTGTCTCTCTGGCTGATTAGTTATTTCCATTCTTTATATTTGTTTCCTCGGTTTATTTATCTCTCTGCTAACAGCTGCAGCAACAAATAGCACACAAAGCGCACTGAATTATAGATGGGGAGCATATAAAATATTAACAGAGGTCTTCACACCTGTAAATGATGCTTTGTGTCCTCCCCTCCTTTAACCACTTTGATGCTGGAAAACTTATTGAAAAAAACCACACCGGTACCTCACACCGGTACAGAGTTCTACTGTGCATCATCGGCAAGCATTGTGTTAAGGAGTTAGGGAATTTGAAACAACAAAAATAAATGTTGTTTGGACCAGAGAGGGTTTAGCAACAACTTGTAGATTTGAATTTGAATTTACACCTCAGGAAGCAAGAGTCAAGTAAATTAGAGCGGTCACTGCCATTAAATATAAAAAAAACTAATATTTTATGCACGGCCATGGGAGTTAAGGGAGATCAGTAATGAAATTAGGCTGTGCCATTATTTAACCAAACGCCTTCATCACTCACCAATAACATGAAGGTGGTTTAGCTCACATTGAGGGTAATCTCGATTTTGCCAAATTACGTTCCTGTAAAACTCTGCTAGAAGGAAATTAGGAGGCTCCACGCTGGGATTACGGCAGAGGTTACACGTATCCCACGAACACAGCCGAAACAGCACCGGGGTAAAGTTCTGACCGGCCGCACACATGGTCCTATGCCCAAAACAGTTCCAGGACGTTTTGTGCTTTTGCCGGTCAACTTCAGGAGTTCCATGCGGAAGAAATACTAAACGCACACTCTGACTATTTAGTAACGTTTGTTCGTATGGTTCATACGAACAAACCAACTGAACGGCACTCTCCTGACACGTGTGGGAAGGAAGCAGGCATTAGTCAAAATTCAGCGTGTTCGGGAGTTTCGATTTTAGTTCCATGCGATCAACACCCAAACACCACTGCCTGCATTCCCGCCAACAAGATGGCCGCCAACACAGTTCCCATGTGTTTGTGCATACGAATGGCGGCCACCCAGCTGCACAATTAGAAAACACGATAATTTAAGTGTCAGGAGAGGTTGCCAGGGGTTAACAAGCCTAGAGGTGGTCCACAGTTCGTGAGTTTGTTTGGTCCCCGAACAGTACAAATAAATCCCACGAACGAAGTCTTTTTACCAGCCTTTTCTATGGCCCATAGTCAGTGGGCAGGAGGCCAGCCTCCACACTCTATCAGGAGCCCGTGGCGAACGTCCAGGCAAGGGGGCGTTCGTCACAAGCAGGTTTTAAAGTAAAGCCTCTACGAGAACGTCAGATAGTAAAACACAGAACCTAGCACCCAAGCTGCCCCATACAGCCTGATCTAGGGCATCTACACAGTCAACTCATGCTCCATGCTTATATTAATGGTGCATTCTGTAGATAAACTTGCAGACACACAGATAATGAATGGTTTGTTTGGAGTGCTCAATGCACAGTATGACCCACACTGAGCATTGGGTCTCTTCTATGGACAGTATGACCCACACCGAGCCCCAGGGTCTCTTCTATGGACAGTATGACCAACACCAAGCCACAGGATCTCACCAGTGTAAAAAGTATAACCCACATTGAGCCCCAGGGTCTCACCAATGGACAGTATGGCCCACACTGAGCCCCGAGGTCTCACCAATGGGCAGTACAACGCACACTGAGCCCCGGGGGCTCACCAATGGACAGAATGACCCAGTCTGAGCATGTGGTCTCTTCTATGGACAGTATGACTCACACCGAGCCCCGGGGTCTCACCAGTGGACAATATGACCCACACCGAGCCCCAGGGTCTCTTCTATGGACAGTATGACCCACACAGAGTCCTATGATCTCTTCTATGGACAGCATGACCAACACCAAGGCACTGGATCTCACCAGTGTAAAGTATAACCCACATCGAGCCCCAGGGTCTCGCCATTGGACAGTATGGCCCACACTGAGCCCCGGGGTCTCACCAATGGGCAGTACAGCCCACACAGAGCCCCGGGGTCTCACCAATGGGCAGTACAACCCACACCGAACCCGGGGGGGCTCACCAATGGACAGTATGACCAACACTGAGCCCCAGGTCTCACCAATGGACAGTACAACCCACATCGAGCCCCAGGGTCTCACCAATGCACAGTATGACCAACACAGAGACCCGGGGTCTCACCAATGCACAGTATGACCCACATTAAACCCCGGGGTCTCTGAGTGTTTGACAGCTGTTTGATAAGTTACTATTCCAATTAGCCCAGGAGAGGCACAACTCCTTCTGTACAATGCAAACCACAGTCAGCAAACCCAATGATGGTTAATCCACGCAACCATGACTAACCTTGGTTTTCTAGCTGTTTACTAGGAGTTTTCTAGCCTATACTGTCTATTGTTCCATGGAGATATAAATGAAAACAAAGTAATAACATGGGGGTCTGTGGGTAGTTTTAATAAAGGGGGCAATGTGTGGCTAAGATGGCATTGCAGGGTTTGGTCAGACAGGGTCTTCAAAAACAACTATTATTATAAATAAATAAAATAAATAATATAAAACTGTAATAACATTGAGTTGCTTTATAGAATAAAAACAAAATGTAAAAAAACCCAAAAAAAACGCACACAAAAATTTGTATGACCACAGGCACACATTGTGTACACACTTTCAGGAGTGAAGTTTATAAACGTATTAGGAAGCACAGTCTGAGGCCGTGGTTAGGTTGAAGATGATCTGGAAATTAGCTGAAAATCTAAATAGTTTTCTGGTTAACCCACCCTTTCAGTTCAGTTTGAGGTCACCGTGAATATTAAGGAAATAAAGCTGGGGGTGCGGAGGGGGGGGGGGTTACACCAAAGAATGCAGAATTTCTCAGAATTGGAGCAGATCTAGACTTGTCCTGTGACAGAGAGAGTGAGCGTCCGATGGATAAACAGGATTAGACGCAGCGGGTGAAAGATATAGGATTTGTTACAAGCAGGAAGAGGGAGCAGTCACTATAGAAACGAATAGAACATTCCTGATGATTTCATTGGTTTCCATGGTGATAGCTCCACATTTAGTAATGTGCCTCCCTGCGTTGGGGAGTTTGAGACCAAAAATCAAGGAATGGGTTTACTGGCATATCTGTCACCTTGGCAGCTACTCCAGCATTCATGCTACAACTCCCAAGGTTCTGAGACAGCCTTCCCTTCCCATGGATTCAGGCTAAATGTGTGAACAAACTCTGTCTGTGGGGCAGCCTATGGGAAACACAACTCCTATTAACCTGAGCCAGAAATGATAATCCAATACATGCAGATGGGCTGCAGCAGCAATCAGATCAGCAGGCAAGCTTTGACACTCCAGCTGTTGTGGACTGCACTTCCCATGATGCTTTGGGGGAAGATAGCTCAAACTATAACAGATCTATATGTAGAGTAAAAAGTCAGTAATAATTAAGCTGATAAAGGGGTTACTTTCTACAGCTATTTTTGGAGCTTTTCTTAAATCTAGTCATCAAAAGGTGAGATACAAATAGGTGTCTAGATAATGAGTGATATGTAGAGTTACTTACTGGTATTTACTGGTTTACTAGAAACGTCCTTAAAATAAAAAAAAACACTTTTGCCACCCATGATGGACGCTATTCAGAATATAAAAACAGAGCAGTGGGGTCCAATGCAAGAAATGGGATCGAGATTTCTGGACCTGGTTCCTGCATTGTCCCTCGTTAACAAATTACTATATAACTGTGTGTCAGCTAGCAATATCCCAAGTGTAACCATATAAACTCCATGGTCCTCGAGGAACCGTGTTAAATACATGTTATGTGGAAACAAAAATGTTACCAGGAAACAGAATGATTTAAAGCCCTCGGTCTCTAGTTTAAGAAAATATTTAGAAGCTGAGTTTCTCACACCAAAATATTCTTCAAGAAAAAAAAATTAAACAAAAATACATGAGAAATGTTTGTGTTTTTAGTGCCAAGAATGTCTGAGGCATCATTTTCTGAGAAGCATATTTGGACAAAATGCCCCGTAGGCCATTTCTTCGCCACATTGGCAGAGGGCCATTGTCTAGACTCTACAGTGATGGTCGTTTCTCGATAAGTCGGGATCTCGCTCTATGCATCGATGTGAAAGAGAGGAATCAACATTTTGTATATCAATAAAGAACATCTTCCCATTACTTTGCAGAGAAACCTTTTCAAAGTCTAGCAGCAGCTCACGACATAAAATGATGCTTTCATCCAATAAAGAGCATTTTTTTGCTTTTATTGAGTTGTGTCATGCGGTCACGGACAGGGAAGAATAGATGTTTTTTGGAAAGGAAACATTTTGGGATAGTTTGAGCTTTTCCTACTGCCAGCTGTTCAATGCGTCTTGTCAGGACGCCAACGCGTTTCTGCTCACACAGCTGCTGAGCTTTCAAAACAAACCGCAGTCATATTTTTAGGAAAGTTCTCTGCTCTCCTACCTGCTTATGAAGGGTGGGCTAAAGATTTAGCATATTCGGCTGTTTCTAAAGTAATATTAGGTACAAAGGGGCCGTCAGGGGCACAGCTGACAAACCTAAAGTCTGGCAGGCAGCCTGTCCAGGTAACGATCAGGGCAAAAACATAGTCACTGGAATAAAAAGTTTTATACTGAACTTTCATATTCGACGAGCAAAGACAGACAGCAATATTACTACCAGAAACATGAGTAAATGTCTGACTAAAAACGCACAGATCGAGAGGGAGGAAAAAACAAACAATTATTCTCTTCTTTGCGTAGTCTTACTTTTTTTAAACAATTTATCAGAATATTGAAAAAAACGCATTGCTCGTGAATGCAGATATTTGGACAATAGGTAAAAATAAAAGAGGAACAGCTTGAAGACAGAACGAGTAAATCATTTTGTTTTGTTTTATTTTAAATTAAAATCTGTGGTATAGGAGGTTACTGGATATTTTAACTAACCCACCCACCATTATAGGGCTTTGATGTGACATATCTGGACCCCAAATCAAATCACCAAAATAAATAAATAAATCCCACCACCGCACGTTTGACCTGTATATACATGAAGATTTCTGCAGACGTTACTCGTACAATTAAACATAAAATGTGAAGAAACCCATCAACTCATGTTTAGAAACCTATTGTTATCCCCCCACAATTCTTTCCTCTTGGGGTTTAAGAAAGGGTTAAAGTTGCTCAGAATGACTTGACACGTGTGGATGTCCTATAAATGGTTTTCACAGTGACAGTGAAAGGCTGGCTGTTGGAGGCAGTTTCCAAGTAATTCAGTCGGTGATGTAAACATTGCTAGATTTGGCCATAGAATGGGGCGCTGACAGTAACTCCGAGCTGCCCAGGATGTACAGACTAAAACATGCATTCCATGATAAACATCCCAGTCGCAGGCCTACACGTAGGCCCGAAGCCTGCCTACAATGGAGAACCCATTTCATTTAAAGCGACTCACATGTCTGATAGTGGGTTGACTCGTTCAGTCTTGCAACATATGGCTCTCGTTAACATAGAGGAGAAGGGGCAACAGCCCTGGGCCAAATACACAAACACTCAGTCATAGATAGAGGGTGAGGATAAATTGAAGGATCCATTGTCTTAGTCCAGGCATAGGCAACCTTCGGCACTGCAGATGTTTTGGACTACACCTCCCATGATGCTTTGCCAGCATTATGTGTGTAAGAGCATTATGGGGGATGTAGTCCACAACATCTGGAGTGCCAAAGGTTGCCTATCCCTGTCTTAGTCTAACCTCAATCAGCCACTAAAGGTGTTACAAGAGCTTGCAATCTATTAATGTGGAGAAACACAGATTGCTATCTTTTAGCCTTTAATATGTTCATGTGTAATTGCATTCATTGAGAGTCTCAAAACATCAGTAGGACATGTTACATACAAATAAACCTGTATATGGAGAATAAATCCCAAACCATTGTATTGCATTTGTTTTTATTATAACCATGTTGTTTCCTTGTCAGATATTCTCTCTAACGGCCACGAGACTTGTTCTAAGCTGTCCCACATCATGGAACTTGTTAGCATGCGTCGCTCGGTTTCACCCCTTCTTCAAAACGTTCTGATCATTAAAGAAGCCTGCGAGCTATGCACTAACCCATCATATATAAAATACACTAAATTAAAAATGATGGAGAGTTAATTAAACGTACGTTACAAAGCCCATTAATGCTCAGATATCGCTATACTTATATAGGTTTAATTCAGAAGATACTCTTGGTAGTTGGTGCTATTATTATTAATAACAAGAAAATGGGGGGGGGGGTTTAACTAGGATGCCTTACTATGGACACAACATATACTTTGTGAGGATTCTAAAGATCTTCCATGGTTTGTTTTCTATACACGTTTTATTTTGATCAATCTTGCACCGCTCTAAATATAAATGTGTACTTTTACTCAGATGCTTTCCGTTTCATATTGCCTGTGCAAAAACGTCATCATTAATCAAGGTTTAAAAAAAAAAACAAAAAAAAAAACAAACATGAAAACAAAGGTCAGGATTTGCAGCTTTCTGCAGTGTGATCCCCCTGCAGTGTGATCCCCCTAGACTTGGAATTAGCTGAAACCTGTCAGCCAATCCCAACCATCCCACACTTTTCAACTAACCTAGCATGTCCCACAAACTCCTGCTCAGCTGAGGATTATGGGATATGTAGTTCAGCATTTGCTTGTTGTTCCATTTACAAAAAAACATGAATGGTCTGTCTAAGCTGTTAGTAGTTGCACTGCAGATATTATTGGCATTACAGCTCCACTCACTATAGTGAATTTAACTAGGGCAGGGGTGCCCAAACTGTAGATCCCCAGATCTTATAAAACTACAGCTTCCATGAATCTTTGTAATTTTAAAGGCAGGAAGAGGATCATGGGAGATGTAGTTCTACAACACCTTTAGGCAGCCCAGAACTAGGGTTTTACAGGAAAATGTTACATTTTAAAACGTCGTTCTCTACCCTGGGAGGCGCTCGGTTACATCCCTGCCTTAAGATACCATGTTTACTATAACATTTTACTAATTTACATTCTCGACACCTTCAATTAAGCAAAGTTAAAATGCCAAGTCAATATTTTGAATCATATTTGTATAACCAAACCACTTATTACCCTTGTTTTCAGCAAGACGAGTCAAAGCAAACATATAATTTGAAAGATTTGTCTGTTCCTGTAGGACATATTTCTACT